TGAGAATCTGCCAACATCTATTTTTCATACCCCTAAATGGTAAGGGTGACCCATCCCTAATTTTTTTTTGTTTTGCAATACAACGTTTGCCGGGTCAGCTAGTATACTTATATATTTCTAATAACATATACATATTATAGAAAAATTACACCATGATACAGAACAACTTATTAGTGCTCATCAGACGATCATTTGTCCTAATTGGGAATCAAACCCACGAGCTCTGGCTTATCAGTCAGTATCAGTTGTGACTCCTGAGTTGCAGGCGATCATGGGCATGGATAGTCACTTTCTATCGTGTAACCCATCTGCTCGATTGCCAACTCTATCATAAAAAAAAACACACAGACCCGTCAGAATACGTCCAAGCGAATATATCAGAATACGTGAAAAATATAGTTTATTACAATCCATCAGGAAGCAAGCGCATTGAAGACTTCAACATCGACATCAGCAACGAATACTCTGGCTGGACGTTATGATGATTCAATATGTACAAAAGACACGACCATGATTATATCTAGTTCAGAACAGTATGTTCTAATAGGGCCCAAAGACTATACATTTTAATTAATTTCTTTCCTTATTTGTAGTAGCATAAAATATATTTTTATCGCAATGTGGCTTGCTTGTTACAACATTTTTAATTTTCTCTTGCCCACGATATGATTGGATTTTGGTAGCTATAAAAAGGTAAATTGCTATGTACCTATTATTTTCGTGGCACGGAGGATGTTTTAATTGTCATTTATTGTTATTCTCTATTGGCTGATAAATGCTAACGTTTACCTATACCGAAACAGGAAAATATTATATAAATTTATTTTTATTTATATCTTTACTGTATACACTTTAATAGAAAATAACAAAAGATGAGTTACAAATAAGTAGACATAACAAATTGGCGGTCTTATCGCTCACAGCGATCTCTTCCAGACAACCTTAACCCGGATTTTAGGTATTTAACAATTTAGGGTAGTATTCCAAATATGTATGGGTATGTGTGTATGTATGTATGTGTAGTTGTATATGTGTAATGTCTATAAATGTATATTTGTGTATGAATGTGTTTGTTTAAATTTATGAATATTTTTAAATATTCACGTTATAATGTGTTACGTGTACTATATAGTACCCATACATATTTGGAATATATAATGTATTAAATAGTGAATCAAAACAGTATTTATAATGACATAAAAATCCTTTAATATTTTTTAAAAACAGGCAAAGTTCAATTTAAAATATTTAAAGACAAAATTATGTGACAATTATAATTAACGAAAAGTATGATTTGTTTGTTAAGCGTAGGTGCACCTCCACTAGATTTTCAAAATTGTCACGTAATCTTTGGCAAGGCTTTTGCTATGTACCTATTAACTTTGTGGCACGGGGGATGTTTTCATTGTCATCTATTCGATGTTATTCTTTATTGGTTGATAAATGCTAACGTGTACCTATACCGAAAAATCAAAATATTTAAAGACAAAATTATGCAACAATTACAATTAACGAAAATAATGATTTGTTTGTTAAGCATAGGTGCACCGACACTTAATTGACAAAATTTCCACGCTATCTTTGGCAAAGCTTTTGTTATTGATTTCATCAAGTAAATAAGTGGGATCGCGCACAAAAAGCTTACATAAATGATATTGAAGGTTGTCTAATTACGGTGAAACTTTGTGATTAAATCAGTAAACGTATGCTTGTTAACATTTCTTTCTACAGAAAAACATGTCTTTATATTTTTTATTTCCTTGCGTTGCACTTTACATAGCACTGGGTAGATTCAATGGCACATAAATCTCATATACTAGTCGAACTTTTAGGTATTGAGTGATTTTGTAATATTTCCACATTATGTTTACCTAGTTTTATGAAGCTCAAAGTTCATTAAATTAGGCCAAATATCATATATGCAGTTAGTAAAACGCGTAGCCGCTTTTAGGCTAAGCAGTCCTAATTTTGAATACAGGACAACATATCAACACAAATATTTGGCAAACCTACTTAAATTTTGAAAATACGTATTTAAATGGAATCTTCCTTACTTCCAAAACGGAATTCATTATTGTATTTTACAAAATTGAAACTGAAAATGCAATCATTGTCGTTCGACTAGTTTTGGTGACTTGATGAAGAAAAGGCGCTTCCAATTAGGAAATAGACTCGAGATTAATTAAAACCACTAAATAAAGCCAAAACTCATTATAGTAGTATCGCCTGGAAAGTAAAACCCACTAATTGCGAACGACAGCTAAACTAAAGCTCTTTTCTGATTGCCGCCCGTCTCGCCACCGTTAGTGGTGCTCGAGACGTAGAATTCGTCACCTGTTGAAAATAATTAGTCAAAAAAAATCAGTAGTTAAAAAAAATGCAGGTGCTGCATAGTACTCAACATCTAGCTTTATGTGTGCTCTCAACGCGCGAACTCGGATAAAAAATTCAGAGGAATTTCAGTGAGAATTTTTACGAAAGCAAACTATTCGAACGACTGTGCTCGCTCGTCTGACGAAATCTGAAGTGGAAAACAAAACTCTTTTTTGGTATCGACGTCATTTTAGTATGCAAGAGCCCTAAGAGGTTAACCATTTTTTTTACTCGTAGATGACTCCACTCGACCTATGAAATATTCTCGAATATTTTTACATCATTTAGATTTGGAAAAATTCTACGTTTGATAAAATTGCTGGTCTTCATAAAAAAAAAATGGTTTTTGGTTAATTTATGTTACCGGGCTTTGCGCTAAATTCCCATCGCACAGTAATTAAAATTATTGTCAATAAGTATGTGAATAACAACGTGACTTGATTAAATAATTCCTATAATCCATCTAATCTAAGAGATACCGTTTGACGTAACATACTTCTCAAGTCGAAACAACTTTGTATAGGCGTAACTCACACAATTAAAATAAAGTTTTTCGTAAAACCATGGAGTTATGCAGCTATTTTTACTTTATCAGAAGATGTACACTATACTTTTTTTTTGGTTTTTTTTAAATAAAGCAAAAAAAATATATTTACAAAAGATTGATTTTTTTTGAGTTCGTTTCAAAGTCACGTAGTTCGGTTCTTTACCGTAGTGTTGTGACTCTTCAAATTCACTTGTATACAAATAATCGTTAAAATGTAAGAATAATCAAACTAATTAATAACCTGCCAGTTTCAATTCAAACATCTTTTATTATTTAGGGTAAGGTCAAATTGGCCTCGAAGAAGTTCGGTGTGCTGAACAGATCGAGGCAGTATTTCACTCCGGCCCACCGGTCCGGCCGCATATGGAATACTATTCTCATCTCTATGCAAGGGCACCTCAGTACCTGCTTCTCCCTCTGGATCGCATCCAACGAAGAGCGACCCGAATCGTCGATAGCCCAAACATCTAAGATCGACTCGATCCCTTGGCGTTACGTAGAGATGTGGCCTCACTATGCATTCTCAATCGCATATATCATGGAGAGTGCTCCGAGGAATTGTTCGGACCAGCCGCAACTTTCCGCCATCGTTACAAATGTTCATCCTCATCACCTGGATAGTTTGCGCTCCACTACTGTGCGCTTTTCGAGACACATTTTGCCCCGCACAACCAATCCGTGGAACGGGTTATCGTCTGCGGTATTTCCGGACCTTGAAGAAAAGAGCGTACTCCTTCCTAAAAGGCCGGCAACGCGTTTGTGACTCCTGAGTTGCAGATGTTCATGGGAGGCGATGGTCACTTTCTATCAGGCGTCTGCTTGTCTTTATTAGTATAGGATATAAGGTATCGGTGGGAATAAATATTAAAAACAAAAAATATATTATTAAACATTGCACTAAAACTGCTACGTTGTTAAAGTCCCATGCCTTAACTTGACAGCATTTAAAGGAAATTTGAAAAAAGGGATATAACTCTCGTATAGGAGATAAGGGATATTATTCTTCTGCTACGGTCAAAATTAAAATAAATTTCAAAAGAATATACTTTAATTGTACGTACAGAATATTACATAAAGATACTTAAAAGTAATGCGCCATTTTTTTAAGACGACGATTTATTTTTGACAGTGTTCAGGGATGTTTCTTTTCAGGGTTTGAAAATCTTACATATTTCTAATTCTATAAGAGATAACGGAATTCCTAAAGGCATAAAACTAGTTCGGTTTGCATTAAAGTGTGATGGTAACGCCCCGCCAGTCCGAGTAAGCTGTAAGAAGCGACCCTGACTGGATATCTTTCCACTGGCTTCATAACGTTGGAATAAACAACAAGAGACCGCGGTGAGAGGGAATCAAAGTTTAAATGAAATAATTTAAACATTGCTATAGGTTGTGCTTTGCTTATCAGACTTCCATTAATTGTGCGCTTAAACTTAGAGTGAGTCAATCAACTTCTATAACTGAATGGTCAAGGCCGCAAGGTCTGACACGTGAATACCGCTCGTCTGGTGTTGCATTAGCCCCTAAGCTACCGGACACAACGCGTGCGCCGACGGCGGACTCGGACCGCTCGATCTCCACCAATTCATTAACAGTATCAGCGATTTCCCGTAAGCCGACCAGGATAGGCCCATTAAAACGCCCTTCACTCAAGTACACGGCATGTATTAACCACATCATAAATACTCCACGATAACGGGTCACCGAAGAATAACCGTGTGGCAATGACCTGGGTGTCATCCTTTTTGGCCTCACTTAGCTATAAATCGATTCACCACACTGAAGAGACCTCTAAAGGGTCATTAATCATTCTATCAAATTCAAAGGTACCTTAACCAATACCAAATGCTTAAGTTGTAAACTATAAACTCAAGTCCAGGATTTTTACGTTCTTATTACGAATACGACGACGAATAGGACAATCTTTACTCTATCGACGTACAGCGTCACATTATTTTATTTTGAGAACGGCAACATTCTAAACACGACAAAATAACAAATGTCAACAAATTGTCATTTTTCGGATGTAAACATATTGATTAGTTGTATTTTTATCGTATCCTTACAATAATATTACAAAATGGACCAAGAAACAGCTAAAAAACTTTTAGTTGAAGGTGGAACTTTTGTCTTTTTGGGTGTTCCTCAGGAAACTCAATTCGGAATTGATATGCAATGTTGGAATACAGATGACGATTTTCGCGGAATTAAAATGATTCCTCCAGGATTACATTATATTCATTATTCTGGAGTTAGTAAAGGTACAGGTGATGTATCTCCACGGTAAGTACGTTTTTGTTATTTCATGATTCATGAACAAATGTTTTTTTCTGACACAAACAATAAAATTGGCTTCTAAAATTTATTTCTCTAATCGATATTTTGATACTATTTTTGGTGCGCACCCTTCAGGAGCTAAGTGGGGAAATATTTAAATTTATATATAATGATGTTCATATACGGGAATTTACCCTATCACGAAACAGGTATTACACATCTTTGAATTGAAATCAACCAGATTGCACTGTCTGGGGTCACAAGTTGTAACCACGTCCACCAAGTATGTTAGAATAGAAAGTTAGTAAATTTCAATCTACATTATATACAATATATACACTATATTATGGTAAAGTTCAGCCTTAGGTATCAAACAAAAAATTATGTTAATGCCTAAAAATAATTACTTACCAAACCAAAAAGTTATCTACTTATCTTAAACAAATCCTCTTTACAGGTCTGGTTTCATGCACTTTTTTCACAAAAAAGAGTTTTTAGTCAAAATGTGGGACAAAAATACTGAGGACATGAGCAAAGAGGAAATAACAGACGAAAGTATACAGCGTCTTAAAGATAACCTGTTTAATTTGGACAGGCACCTTGGACCATATCCTTATGAGATATGGCAGAAATGGAAACTGCTGACATCACAAATTACAGGTTAATATATACATATTTTTAATAAATAATTGCAGAGCAAATCTTGTCCAGCTTTATGTCCTATAAAGGCCATGTGTTTGTGCTTACTCAAGCATAATATTTGCCCTTTATATGTTTACTCTTGAAGATTCATTTCCATTTAAAATGTTTTTATCTTTGCTGTAAAAGCCAGCCTTCTTATTTGATGCTTATTCTTTAATTATTGTATATATTAACTTTTAGGCAGTGATCATCTAAAGTTTATTGGGTCGTCTGTGTTTAGATATAATATTTTATTAAAACCTCAATTAGCCATCCACGACTTAACACCACTTTTTATAATTAAAAATAGTGACATCTATTTTTAATTATAAATAGTCAGTCAATCAATTAAAATCTTACCTTTCAGTGAAGCAATATTCAAGTCAGTTAGTATATGTTACTTGCAAGTATGTAGGCTTGGCAAAGCAAGATACAATAATGAGTCAGAATATTAGAGTTTTTATTAAAACTAGCAAGATATGATATTATAACCATCAATAGTGATGAGCCATTTGTTGGTAAATAACTGAAAAATTTTAAGAGAAAGTCAACCGGAATCCTAGTAGGCCTTTGCTAAAAAATAATACTTCAGACATTTTTTTTTCCAAAATTATTGTTATCCATGCCAATATTAAAAGTTCTCTTATGCAAGCACTACACTAATTTTTTTTAAACTTGTTCCTTGTTGTATTACTAACATATTTATTAAGGCATTTTTATGATAAAATATTTTTTCATAAAGTAGGGCTAAGCCTACAGAGATGTTTGGTCCTGATGGAAAATAGTATTTTAGAGGCTCTCTATTATGTGCCTTTTTTCTCTCATCATTAAAATTTTCTTCTTCATTTACAGCTGAACTTGCAACAAAACTGTCACCAGAAAATGGTATCATTAGAGCATCTGTTGAACTTCTATCAACATCTGATGAAGACAGGCCACGAGGAATCAAATCTTCATCAAGTTCTATGGAAAGTCAGAGAAGTACAGAAGAATCATTTACAAAAGAGACCAGCGAAGAAACAGAAGAATCTGCTGGACAGTCAGATGCTAAAAGAGCTAAAAGGATAACACGAGAGGAAAGAGAGGATGCAATGTTGCCAGATTTAAAACCTGCACCTGGTAATAGCTTTATTTCTATGTATAGTGTAATTGAAAAATCTCAATTAGGATGTAACTCTTTGAGTTACATGCAGCTGCACCTCCGGTAAAGTCATACACATGGTGTATATACACCTATGTTACCTTTTATTACAGACATCAACATCCTCTAACTGGCCACTGCTGGGTTAGAAACTGCCTTAGAAAGGAGGTTTTGGCCTGCTATAACACGCTGGCAGACGGGTTGGTATAGGGTTTGTTTGAAGTTCTCCTTCTCTTTGCAGTGCTGTTGTCCTACGTAATTTGCACCCTTAGTCGGCTCTTTCGACACCAACGGGAGGAATAGGGGTGGTGACATTCTGTATCCTTAATCCGTCACTACACAGACAGAAAATATTAATTTCTTCAAACGCATGTTTTATATCAAGCAAGACTTGGAATAAAAACTCACCACTCTTTTTTTCCAGTTGTCATAGGACAGTTTAACTGTTATAAACTAAACAAAAGAAAAGTTCTGAAACTTCTACCTTCGTTTGTATTGGACATTGTCTTAAAACCTCTAAGTACGTTGAAAAAGAAACGGTATCGCGTAAAAAGCACTTGTAATTATTAGCACTCTTATTTTTATGATAATAGTAAAAAGGATTCTTTGTAGCCCTTTTAAAAAAAATATGCCTCACGGTAGCTATCATAATATCTGGAAAACTTATATTTTTATACGTCCAAGTGCAATATATTTACAAACAATGTGTGCTATAAAGTTAAAAATTATGTAATAACGGCTAGATAAAACTATGGGGGCCAGAAAAAGAGTGTACTCCTTCCTAAAAGGCCGGCAACGCAACGCGTTTGTGACTCCTGGGTTCTAGACGTTCATAGAACCCATATAATCACTTTAAAGCATGTGACTCTAACATAAAAAAATAATACCTATGATGATATAAAAGTCAACACCTACAAAGACAGGTCCAGTTATACTGCTCTATGAAATTAAACAAGGCATTCAAAACGGATGCAATTCTACCGCCTCAGGCTATCTTTCGTATGTGCGTCTTCCTCTGAGCCTTTTTCCCAAACTAGGTTAGGCTCGGCTTTAAGTCTACTGCGATACGGCTGAACTTCTTTTTTTTTACACAGACCGACTGCCATTGGATCTCCACAACCCGTACAACACAACTTCTAAGACTGTTGTTGAACTTTTTTATTTCTCCAACTATCCGTAATTCGTATGGCAACTGGGACCGACTGCTTAACGTGCAAGGGTGCATCGAGGCGCGGAGGGGTCTCAATGTGTTTATAATGGTCACCCATCCATGGCCTGGCTTTGATTGCTTGACTTTGCAATGTGTTAACCTACTCGATTAGGACTTATCCACGAGCCCTCTATAGCTCCAGTATGTGTATATAAAACTTTATTAATTTGTTCTGTAGTCGTTTTTTGTTTAAATGTATTGATTTCTCTTTTATTTATTAGCCATTTACTTATTTAAATGTAGTTACAGTCTCGTCACGTTTTTAGCACAACAATGTCGATGGCAATTACACTATTTAAATGTAAATTCATCGCTGGTAGACATGCATAAGGAAAACGAATGAATACCTTGTAAATATATGTACCTAATTTTTGTCTGAACCAGCTTATAAATATTTATCTCGATTCAAGCTAACACATAAGTCGCCTTTTAACCGTCTTTTAAAAAGGATAGGTTCTTAATTCGACTGAAAATTTTCTACTTTTGTTTTACTATCTTACGCGTTCCATCTATGAACCGGTTTTTTTTTTAAATTGAATCCATTGTACCTACTCAAGGATTTTTATTTAAACAAAATATTCTATCTCGAAGGTAAATTAAGGTATGAAAAATAAAACTGATCATTATTCAGGCGCATTAAAGCTGAATTAATAATTTGTTTTTAAATATTTCGTTTTCCACAATGCGGGTCGGTTACTGAATTTATTTGTCTGTTGGTTTTAATAGCAGATGTTTAAATAAGTGAAAATAAAGGTTCATAAAAATATAGAATTCATGAGGTTTACTTTCGGTACTTACCACACTGATCTAAGTTCTAAGCTAATTTGTCTCAGCAGGATAATAAGAACTCCTAAGTCCGTGGTCCGCGTCTTCTAGGTATGTAATATACTGTACTGTATTTAAACAGCTAGTTTAATTAAAATTGGGTCGACCTCATAAACGCCATCATTAACAATATAAAGGTTTGGAGCTGTCTGGTCTGGTAAATCGTGTGTATCATCACTTTAACAAGAGTTCGATTTCCTTGACTTATAATATTAATCAGAACCTGCCAGCTCTCCCGACAATAGATCTTTCTAATCTCTAAGACGAAACATAAAACATTTGGATATTTAATGCAGTGTATTTTATTTGCAGGCATGTCAATGCGTTTCACAGAAATCCCACGCGACAAGTACCCGCCGGGTTCCACACCAGAAGAAATCACAAAACATTATTTAGACCAGTCTTATTCCCTAGAGCTGATGATCGCACAACATGATGAGTAAGTTGATATTTCACTTAAAACCATATAATAATATGTTCTTAATAACACTTGGGCAGGACTTAACTGGATTAAAGTACTGGCGACTGCACGGATGGCGTAGTAGTTTAAGCGGTCAACTCGCCGTTTCCTACTGCGCTGAGTGCTGTGGGTTCGATCCCCACATGAGACAACACTTTGTGTAATCCACAAATAGTTGTGGGTTTTTGGTCAAACCCAAAACCCACTATAACCCTTTAAAATAATGAAAAGTTATACATTGAGTTTCAGTAGGTCATGCTCAGTGCATCAATAATTTTATTATTATAGTAGTAAAGTAACTAATATGTCAAAACATGACTGAGCGTGATGTTTGACGTTTTGCAATGGCGATAGATTTGAAACCAACTTTTTTAGATTGCAGCGATTTCACCATTTATATGTTAAAATATTTACCAAGTCACTGCCTTGTTTGCCATTTTAAACCTTGACTATTATAATCGAATACTATTTTCCTTCTACTTCCGTTGTTCATTGTGATTTTTTTTTCAGACCACTCCATATAATTGGCGAGCTGCAATTCGCTTACTTGTGCTTCCTTATTGGACATTCCCTAGAAGCATTCGAACATTGGAAGAATCTTGTCATTCTCATGTGTTCATGCGATGACGCGATACACAAATACCGCAGCGTTTTCTTCCATTTCATTAGAACAATCGAAGTACAAATTGAGGAAATGCCAGAAGATTTCTTAGCTGATATTGTTATGAACAAAAACTTAGTTTATAAGAAGCTTCGAGAATTTTTCCGTACAGCATATGTTAGCAAGGTTGATGGACGCCTTCTGACGATGATTGAGAGATTCAAAGAAAATCTGACGGACAAACTTCAATGGGATTTCACAGGCTTAGATGCTGATGAAGAAGACGAGAGGCCAGTTATAGTAAAGATAGATGAAGCGGAATAGATTAAGAATAAATTAAATATATTATTATAATCCTTTTGACTTGGACTATTTAAGGGCTGACTCACTCAAACGTTGTGATTATTGTGTCACAATACTTTGATGAGGCAATACTTTTTAAATAGAAGAGCGATTGACATTTTATTTTTATTTTGAGAATAGAACAAATATATTAGTGTGTTTGTTGAATAGCGAGATCGCTACTGGATCCTCGTCAATTAAGGCCATGTTCAGACTGCGGGCGTTAAACGCGCGTTAAGAACACACATTTTATTTAGATAATAGGCGTTTTTAGCGTGTATTGTAAACGACACTACTAACAATTGTATCCATTACAACAAAAAACAACCAAATTAATTTATAACTTGAGACCATAATTATGCAATAACTCTTCTTTTTTTTACCGTATCTTTGTTTTATTTCATTTGCTATCTTTAAAGCAACGTCTAGAAACTTCTGGAAAGAGCTTTTTAAAATGGCCATGGTCATGAATGAAAAAAAAACGATAAAGATAAATGCATAGGTTTTGTGTTGAACTTCATTATGTGACGTTAACAACGTTCAGTATCGTTTACAATACACGGTTTTGAGACGACGTCATACGATAATTCCAAACTACTTTGAAATCATTTGATTCACTTACAAAAGTTCACGTTACTGCGCTGTTTCAACGCAACGTTGACTGATTTTAATAAAAAGACATGACCATCTAAATAAATGTTTGCATACCATGTTGTATCACATAGCATCAGTGTGGTGATGTTACACTTAACACGCAGTTTATGTACAAAGTACAAGAACCCAAATAGAACACATAAAAATCTATGTCCGCCCTTAATCGAACTCAACTGGACTATGTGCGTTCAACGCCCGAAAACCGCTCGCCATGTGAACACTATAATGAAATCCTAAAGCGCATTCGACGCGCGCCGTCTGAACTTAATCTTACACATAATTGGGTATCAGCGGTTGTATTGTATAGTCATAACGTACAAATACGTCTTTATGAGCAATATTTGTCTTAAATTAATTTATAAGCACTTTTGTTATTAAAATTAGAAAGTGGTACCACTTTTTTAGATTTTTATAGAATAATTGAGTGTGCAGTAAGCTCTTTCTTGTTGATCTACGATATAGCTATATTTTGATATAAATAGATTATATATTAGACAATTGTCAATCGAACTTCTGACTTTTACTTCTATTCCTGGCACATATCCCAAGGTAGATTCAAGTCGTATATCTGTGTACTATGTACATTTATAGCATGATATTTAAAGTTTAACTTTTATTAACTTTAAGTAGAATCCTTTGTGGACCCCACCCTGCATGTTAGTGTCTCGTGTACAACTATGCGTAGTTGCCAAAAGTATATTAAATATATTATGTATTATCAAATGGTATTGGTTTCCTCGATGTAATTTTTAAATATCAATTGAAGTCAATAAATGGTACCTGTTCATTTTGTGGTTTTGATTTACCAGCCCTATGTGTTCTTTTGTAAAAAGGTTTAATCTATATAGTATGAAGGTAGAGTTTGGTTAAACGTGCCAATCTGAGTAACTACTGGTTTCGATTAAAATTTGTGTTAGTGTTGCATGGGCTATATAACATCAGGCTACGACCAATAGGAGATGAGCATCAATGAGAAAATGTTGGCAAAACGGGGAAAATATATTTCTTTAGAAAAACGCGTCCGAAGTTGTGCGGTGAGCCACTGATGCTAGTAAAAAATAAACTGCGGTGATCGCGGTTTCCTAAAAACGCTCAAATTAACTCACCCACTTTACAGCAAGTGTATGACAACCAAATAAATTCATTTAAAACTTGCATTGCTTTAGAGATGATTATAGAAAGATATGTTAAGAAACCAGTTAGGCAGTTTAATAACTTTTTAGCTATTCTTATAGTCTTTGGAGTTATTTAATGTACGGTTTAATTAGTTATTAACTGAGATTGCTTTGCCAGTGGTCTTCATAAAAAAGTGTTGTTCATGTTCATAAAAGAATGTTTCTAAGTATATAGAAAATATTACTGTAATATTTAAAGCAAAACTGTAATAATTTCCAAACTTACTGATGTTAAATGATCAATTATATATATCTTTTCAGAACATTAGTAATGTGACAGGTACACGTCGGTTTTGCATGGGTGGAGTTCGACCCTGCAATCAGTCTATCGCAAGTCCAACGTCTTAACCATTACGCTACAGCTTTTGGCTATATATAAAAAAAAACATTTTTTGTCTGTGGCCGATCCAATAAATTTTTATTTATGTTATAACAGACGTAAAATACTTTTAACTAACTATTTTCATCATGTATTTCATATATTTTTTTGTCACATTCCAACTCTAATGTATCTGAAGTTCACCGGCGAATAGGGTAAAAAAATGAACAAAAATTACCCATAAATGACTTCAGTATATTAGCATACAATAACATTGTCATAAATACAAAAATATTTTCATAATTATTTCTTCTTCTTAAACTGCTTCTTCATTGGTTTCTGATTTTGCTTTTCAAATTTTGGTTTCTTAGCTGCAGCAGCGGGTTCTGTAAAAGATAATAAAATTTAAGCTCGAAAGCCACCACACCTATGACACCAAGTACAAGTGAAAAAAATATGAAAAAAACTGATGAAACTCATAATATTCTGGTTAATAAATGTGCAATTTCTTTTTTGTATTTTAACTACCGCAAGAAAAATAACGTTTCGGCGATCTGCGCTATCGTGATTAATGATAGTAGTAAGTGTGGATACTAAATAAATAAATAAATCGTTTCCCAACATAATGATCGGACTGATAACAGCTAGAAATCAACTTGGTTTCACATCTGAAGCTGGTAAACAAGTGTATAAAGTCAGACTCCACCCAAACACTGGTCTAAGTTAAGTTTTGCGTATGTAATTAAACTGAGCAAATAATATATAGCCATAGCCAATTTATATACCCATTTACTTATCCTATTGTTATTATAGTCTTCAATAAAATGAAGGCCTCAAGGAGATATTGTCTGAAACATTTTACAAATACCAATGTAGGTACACTGCTTTACACTCATAAATCGGCTTATAAAATTATTAAATAAGTCAAGTATTTCTAGTTTTCATTATAAGAAGTTATAGGCTTTTGTTTTTTGTAATATCAATTGTGATGCTCTAATTCTTTCAAAAAAAAGGTAGGTAAAAAATTAGGCAAAATATACTCACTTTGAGGAGCAATCCTTTTAACCGTATTGATTGATTTCAATTCTTGTTTCTTTACCTGTGCCTTGTGGTTTTGTTCCTTCTGTGTTTGTTTTTTCATCTGAGCTGGCTGAGTTACCTTTGGTAAAAGCTTATTTTTACCCTGCTTTTTACCTTTCCCATGGGATGTAACCTCTTCTTTATCGCTAGTAATAAAATGTTTTTTTTTTTTAATTAAAACAGAACTTATAAAAAGTAACTACACAATAATATATGTACCTCATACACAACTCCACAATTTGGGTCAGTTCGAGTTTAGAGCTTTTCAGAGTTTTTTAGAAAGTTACTGTTAAGATCCCGTTCAGACGCTGAGCGTGGGCCGCGCGTTTATTGCGCCTTGTGTACTTGTAGTGCTTACAGCATGGGCAGTAATTTGTGTGGCAATTCACATAAATTTCTCGTAATTAAAAACCTGTATGAAATTTATTAACTAAAATGTCACCAAACTTATGACATGTGCAAAATGTTATTGAAATCACTCGTGGTCGCGCTAAAAACGCTCGTTAGCATGTGAACATGACTTAACCAAAACACGTCTTCTTGCTGACGCCTTCATCTGAAAATGGGATTGCAAAAACAAGTTTTCTGGAAGAAAAAACAAACATAACAAATCCTTACCTGTCTGGAATTTGAACATCATTATCTTCTTCTTCATCTTCATCAGATTCCTCATCGGCGGATCCATCACTAGATGAAAAATCATCATCCTCTCCTATCATTTTTTCAAACTCATCTGAATCAAACTCATATGACCCCTCACTGTCATCTCCTTCTAAGCTGATAAATTCTTCAACTGATTTTACACCAGCTTTTACTAAGTTTTGCTCTTTTTTATTCTGCTCCTTCTGATTTACTTTCACAGATTTGTTTTGACCTTTTTTATTTTCTTTATTGGCTACTTCTTTTTTCAGTTCTTTTTTAGTTGTGTTATTCACTTCATTCGTTTTTTGGATTTTAGTATTATTATTCCCTTTTTCGTCTACTTTTTTAACCACTTTTTGTTCTTCCTTTTTCTTCTTCTGATTTTTATTATTTGCCTTCAGCTCTACTTTTTCAGCTTTCTTTTGTTCTGTTTCAAATATTGCACCTTTTTTAGCTTTCTTTTCGTTTTCGTCTTTCACATCCTCCTCATCTTTCTCTTTTTTAATAACTTTGCTAAGAAGTGCTTCTGGCACATCTACTGGTGTGAAAAAGTCATAATTTATACCTAATTCACTTAACTTCTTCTTAGTTTTATTGAGCCTATAAAATATTACAGAATATAATAAAATAAACAGTATTAATATGACAGTATAAATGTAATAATATCACAAAAAATATTACTTAGATAACATCTTTTTTGCTTTTTGCAGTTCTTGAGCATCATCTTTTTCTGCATTAAATGCCTGGAAAATAAATTGCAAATATTAGACATTTTTTTTATTACTAATTTTTATTACACAGACAAAAATTTCTGAGAAATAAATATTTAAATAATTACCAACTAGTAATACTATTCAACCAGGGTATATAAACACTCATCAAGTACAATTCAAGTACAAGTACAAAAGTACAAGTCAATACTTACAGCCACAAGTGTGCATTGTTTAAGACATTACGACAATTTACGAAAATGTTTTGATTTTTATAAATTAGATTAATTAAGCATTATTCACAAATTAATTATATATTTAAATGTTATTTAAGAGCAATTTTAAATATAAAAAATAGCAGCTTTTACTCCATGATAAAGTTTTAGTTTAAAAAAAAATACCTTTTTCAACTTCAGTCTCTTGATACTCGCAGGGTTGTGGACAGTGTTCCAATGCTTTCTGAATGCTTTGCGTCTTTGTTTTGAAGGTTCAATATTGACCGCTGTAATGAATTGATATGTTCTGTTACTGCTATTAGAATTATATACTAAATATGTGTTACATCTAAAATCTGAGTTAATTTACAACTAGTTGTTTGCAGCTATGCCTAGATGTGGTTGGTGGCACAAGACAACTCCCGCACTAGGAATAAGTCTTTAGAAACATACATGAAACAGGCACAAAGAACACACAGACTCAGAAGAGTGATTTTGGGATCACACAAAATCCCATGTGGTGATCAAACCCACAACACTCACCGCAGTTGGAAGCAGCAAGGTGACTGCTTAAACTACTATGTCACAGTGAAGTCAAGTTACCTGCTATCTTCCACTTATAATCAGAAAAATAATGTATGTTGTGGCACACTATGCTGTAACTGCATATTTAAATTTAATCCATAATAGTAATTTATGGATATAAGCTACCATCCCAATGTATAATTTTTCCTTGATAAGTAATTTTAAAACGGATATATACCATGTTTATTTAGTACCATGATCATGAAGAACTTGTTACTGGTGACCTTGGCGCTTGCAATGTTTTCGAAATATCAGAAACTAATTCTCGAAAATAAATATGTTAATATTCCCCAGACAGTGTGGTATCTACTTTGGTGCAAAAGTGACAACAATGAATAGAATTTAGAATTGTCTATTAGTAAAAATTCATGCTTCAAACTATTTTTTTACGTAAATAGTCAGTACCTTTGATCAACCTCTTGCCCATGAGATAATTATTCATAGTTTCTGCAACAATTTGAGCTACCGATGGCTCCTTGAACTCAACAAAGGCAAAGCCTTTTGAGTTACCTGTGCGTTTAGACCTGATCACTCTTGCATTGGTAACTACACCAAACTGTTTAAAATACTGCGTCATTTGATGCTGTAAGGACATAAACTATTTATGGTAAATCAAAATCATTATGCATGTCTAAGGAATCAAGGATATTTTTTTTTGTACATTATAATTAACTAGTTTAAGATTATTTATGTAATAACAAATTATAGCTAGGTCGAATCAGTATCTATGCTGAGGCATTCTAAAAGGCGTGTGATCTAGTGAAAGTGTTGAACTTTATAGTCATATAGCAAATCATTTGTTGTTAAGCATTTAAGTTACATCGTGATTTAAAACCTTGAAGTTTATGAAATTATTTTATTATTATACAATGGTAAGACTTCAATAAAGTTTTTTAAAACAAAAACCTAACCTCATAAAATCCGTGTGGGATATGGGATAAATATACAAGACCCCTTTCTTTACGCTTCTTCTTGATTTTTCCATTCTTTAACCTCATACTAAAAGGTTTCTCTGTTTTCGAAACATCTTCTTTCTTTTTAGGCTCAGATTCTGCAATCTTTTCATTTTTCTGTAAAAACCAAATTGAGAAATATTATAATGGTCATAATACTATAACCTCACTTTTATGTCGACAAAATAAAAACACACACACCTTAATTAATTTTTTGATTCCTCTGATAGACTTAACGAACTTTTTCTGTTTTCCTGAATCTAGCGCCACATTTTCCTCCATCTTTGGAAATACTTTTTTTTATTTTAGTCAACTAAATACAACTTTTACAACAACTCGGTTACAAAAACCGCAACACGCGACCGAAATCGTACAAAAGTACAAACACGAAATGCAATGCATGAATTTGACAGTTCACGTGAGTATGCGCGACATTGACTTGACAGTTACCGCCACAGTCACAGAACATATATACCCGCCACAGTGCTGATAGGTCGAAATAGTCCGATTAAAGTATTATCCAATTTTATTTTTTGTAAGTTAATTTTAGATGAAAATAAAATATAACTAGCTTAAAGCTTGCTAATTAATTTTTATAAACAGATCCATTTTATTCAGAATATTTGATACGCAATTTAGCTTTGATAAAAATACTTCGAGTTGGTTAAACATTCACAACTTACATTTCATCTGACCCGCATGCTCGACAGAAGAAGCTAATACGATACAAAAAAAATGAAGTTATAAGAATAAGTCACTCATTAGTTAATCTACATTTTTTGGGAGAGAATTAGCTTTCTAGTATATAAAACATCAATAGCTTGTGGATTCAAAATTTCACTTTTTTGTCTAAATGAACAAATATGCATAGGTAAATTTTAATAAAATCTAGATTTTAATAAAATCAAATGCAATTATTATTAAACATCAGTATCTTACGTTTTGCTTACACGTATATTATATTTTATTTTACGTTTTATGTGTACTTACTTTTTAGTTTTTGTTTCACTCTAGTAAACTGTATTTTAATGTTTCAATCTCTTTTAATTCTATATTTTTTTAGCTAGTAAATCTTGGAGGTAATAATTAAATACAGAAGATTCCAGCCTCTGCGTATCTAACGTAAACAAGATATTTTTGCCTGTTACTTAGTCAGTAATTCGCTATAATAACCATTAACCATCACGCTGACTGGACAAAAAAGGAGATTCATGACATCATGTCTCAATTTAACGCACTTACACTATCAAAAGAAGATACTCTTACCTCAAAGGCCTCCCAGTGAACACATGACCTCCATAAGACGTCATAGATAAGTCTTAGACAGATCATAGAATTTTTACATACATGATATAAGAATGACTTTATTGATGACTTTGACTTTGTCATTGTGTATGACATCATTATGACGTCGTACTGAACTAAAACCTTTTATATAACGTCATAATTGAGACTTAAATATTATCTAAATATTACGTCCTATCCCTATCATATGTGTGACGTTAGTTAGTTACTTTTTTCGAAACAAATTTTTTGATTTACTGTTTTTTTATTAGAATAGAATGGAGATTTTTTACAGCGTAAGCCTAAGAATCAAATTTTAAAAAAATACCTTTAATAACAAGTGAAACATTCTCATTAATAAAATTATAAAATATTTTTTTATTCTTATTAAAATATTTTTAAAGAAGAAGAAATTGTAGTCCCGTGATAATTAAACGAAAATATCTAATATGAAAAGCATGCTGCATCTAATACGGTCCCGTTGGTAATTTATTGTCAGTGAAAGTGTCCTGGTGAGCAATTAAAACATTTGAGACCATAGCGTCTTTCGCGATACAAAACAGTCTGTAAATTTTTGTGTCTTCACCTCGCACACATTCTTGGACTCCCATACAAAAACAATTGGCTGTCACTACGGAACTAACAATTAAAATAACACATTTCCAATTTTCACACACGCATAAACACATTCTGTGTAATAACAGTGTTATGAAGTACTACATTGACATTTTTAATAATAATAATAATATTCTACCACATAACAACCGTGGCTGAACAACTATCGATATGCAATATCCATAAATTCAAGAAGTCGGTTAGGGAAACCAGGTTTAAAAAGATATACAATGATGGAAATTAATATAGATAGGACTTTATTTATTACTACAACAATCATCATTGATGTTACCAATAGTTTTGTTTTTCACCGGTTTTTAAACTGGATTAAGTTTGTATACATATATCGATAACATTTCTGTGAGTTAGCTTTTTTCATTAAGAAGGAACATTCATTTAATATCCTTCCAATGTTCTCCAACACTTAAAAGTCAGAGGTCTTGAAATGATCTGAACAAATGACACTGTTTTTTGTAGGTATCCAGTTAAGTTATAAGTTTTTATAAAAGTTCTTCAATATAGCTCTTAAACTCGGATCTTTAGGAAACCTGTAATAAATAAATAAAAACAATGTGGTCATAGTTGACACTTAGTAGTTTTAATATAATGTGTTAATACTCGTAATTATTGTATTATATTTGATTAGAGGCAATTATAACATTAAAGTATTTTAAAATAAAGCTTACAATCCACATAATTATATTAATTATATCAGAAAACCTGAATCTTTTTATTTTATCGATATCTAACTATTTATTTACAAACGGGTAACAACACTATCGCTCGGTGACAGCGATTAGCAACATGACACTCGGATCGGTCGCTTGACTGATCCGAATAATGTATGAGTATGATAAACAAATTCAAAACAATACAACTATTATTTTCGTAAATTTTAAGGTTAAAAATCAGTAAATAGTAAGGTAACGTCATTTTTTGGAAACTTGACGTGTTTAAAGCAAAAAAACTGTTCAAATAGGCATTTTTGTAGGTCGCTTACTGTTGTCTGCTCAGCAGCGCAACTAGATTTAGTCCAGTGAACGGTCCGAAGGCAACTAGTTTAATTGTATGCAAATGACCGTGGGGACTTATACTTTGGCGAGGGGAACGCCGGCGTATGGCTTCTCCTAACCGTGTGTGCTCTATGAATATGTATCTTTAAATATTATTGGTTCTTGAAACTTCAATATGAAAAACGTAAACAGCCTATAAGATAGTTGAAAACATTATCCGAATTTGGCATAACGCTTGCGAAGCATGTACAACAGGCTTTAATACATTACTGCAAGTCTAGACTTTTACAACTACCATGTAGTTACCTGTGTGGCAACCCTACATTGTAATTTATTGATTATTGATTTGCCATTCATTTTACTGTTCCGAAGACTATCATTTTCTTAAAAAAAATCGTTTTATTTATTATATTATGCTATTTGTAAATTAAGTAATGTTTGTGACTAACTATTAATAAATTTAAAGTCGAAAAAGTGGTCACTTTAAGGTTTTAAGATGTCAACCAGTACATTGCAACAATATATTTTATTGCTTCAACGTGTATTTAGGACCTCACAGGCGACAGCACTAGCATCATTATTGGATCTACGTGATGAACACTGTTATAACAAAAACCTGTTACTTCCTAACATTGAGAGATTTGTGGCATCTAACTGTGTTGCTCCCTTGGACGAAATTGTCATCGCTCACTTACTATGTTTGAAAGTAAGTGATTATTATTTATTTATTCATACAAATATCCTGCGCCCAGTGCAATATTAATATTTTTATTCTAAACATTGAAATAGTCTGTTCTCTGAAATACCAAAATTTTCGTCATAATCGTCACAATTCTACCAACAAGAGCTAAATTAAGGGCTGTCAACTTTAAAAGATTTGATGGGGTTGCCACTACATCAAAAAGAAATTCATAGGCTTTTGCTCTTTACTGAAATATTGTGACTTATTTTCTTCTGGTTGAGGGCAAAAATTGAACCAAAACGTTTAGATTATTTACAGTTGTAAACTTTACGAGCCTAATAGCAAAGTTAGCCTTAGCGTAATAGCGGCAAGTTGGCAACTGAATGAAATCAGAAACTTATGATCTCACATCACATCATCACAATATCAGCCTTTATTAGTCCACTGCTGGACATAGGCCTCTCCCCAGAAAGGAGGTTTTGGCTTACTATGCCATGATGGCCAGACTTGTTGGTATTGGGTTTGTGTCAAGTTTTTCTTCTTTTTACAGTGCTGGTGTCCTGCGTTGTTTTACGCCCTTAGTCAGCTCTTACGCCACCCACGGGATGAATTTGAGTCAGATTAAGAATACGGAACTCATGACCTATCTTATCGTATTACGTTTGTGCTTTCACATTTCTTTCGTAAATGCGTACTTAAACTATTATATTTGTATCAGGAATAATCTGAAAAGTTTAAAAACATATAATACATTGTGTACGTACGTATGTTACGCAAAATGTATTTTTATGTTTATAAACTTAATATTTCTACTTTTTTTAATCCTTTTCAATTTAACAGAAACTCACATAATTTCGGTAAATAATTACAGGTAAATTAGCTTGGAGAAATTTTTGCGTTTGTAGTAGTGTATAGTGTATGGTAGCGTAAACTGGTTTATTCTGGTTTTGTGCGTGTTTCCACTTTCCACTATCAAGTGACGATTTTTTGCTTTAGATTGAAATATCTCGGAAACGGTGCGTCCTAGGCCAAAAATAACAAAAATTTTGACCCCCCCCCCGTAGACCCCCCGGAGTTTTAAAAACCTAGATGAAAGGAAAAAAAAAAAAATTAAATATCGGTCTCTCCTCTTTGAAGTTTCACTTCTATCGTGTGTGAATCGCACACACACCTTTTTTTTTTATAAAGTCAAAACTTTTTTCTTTAAAATAAAAACTGGTTTTATTGAAAACAAAAATCAGAGTGTTGCTAGGGATAAGTATAAAATTAAATAGTAATGTTAGGATATCGAAACATTTTTGTATAAGCCAGAACGATATAGTGGAAACGCGCTCTAAGATCTGAGTAATATACACACCACTACATATGCAAAAATTTCTCGAGACTAATTTCACTGTAATAAGTCGATCTCCTATCCTTTTCATCTTCTTTTTAGATACTATGTAAATTTCTACTGGCCATTGTAACACATTGATGCAAATAAAAATCGAGTAAATCGGGGCAGTTAGCAAGTGCTTACTTACAAAACATAAGGTGTGACTCATAAAATTATAAATATAAACTATTTAAATGGTTTGTTTAGTTTTCAACGGTGACGTAAACGTGACTTGTAATTTTCCTATCGCACTCCCGATACTTTCTTAAAACTTATTTAATATTTAGAATAATCAATGTGTAGAATGCCCTTGCGCTTTGCTTACCTACCTCGACTTACCGGGGCACTACTGCATCCCCAGATTGGCAATATGCCAAACTCCAGAGTCGGTGTTGATTTTACGAAGAAAACTTTAGCTGTCAAATGAAACTGTCTAACACAGGTACTATGTTCTATTTGACTATCTGTCTAAATAGGAAATTCTGAGAAGAGGTTTATGCTGAATTTTAATGACATTGATAACTTTTTTTACCATCTTAAATTAAAGTAATTCATCGAGATGTCTGTTACTGGGACCCTGAACCAATACATACAATTCGTGGAGCGAATGTTTAGGACTTCCCAAGGAATAATTCTATCGCGTTTATTATCTTTGCGCGATGAGCATGTACTCAATAGAAATTTGAGTGGCTCAAGTGATATTGCTAGCCTAGTGGAAGGCAACTGTGTTTCTCCGTTAGATGAAATAATAATCACTCATATATTATGTGTTAAAGTAAGTTCCTTATTTAAACGCGTTTTTTTTTAAATTAACCAGTGCATTTATTATCTTCGCATCGGTGAAGGGCCAAGCACCCAACAATTTAAACATGAAACATTTTGCTACAATTTCTATCTTAGCGATAAAGTTTGAATTAAATATTTTTTCAGATTTATACTGTTTAGATATACTTACCTAAGGAAAAATTGAATTTAAAATTTTATTTTTATTTCAGGCACTTCATGCTAAGAACTATGTCGAAGCTTATAACCGACAGAGTGAATGTGTAGCATGTGTTGTGAAGTTGCTACAATCACAAAAAGAAGTAAACTGGGGGCTACAATTAATGTACACAGTATGCTTGGATTTAAGGCTTGTTGCACAAAAAGCTGATGCTGTTTCAAGTACTCGTAAGTAATTACAGTGAGTTACAAAGCCGCCTATTGTTAATGTTGACATATAAATTCAGAAAAAAACTGGCCAAGTGCTGGTCGGACTCGCCCACAGAGGGTTCGGTATTATCTGTAAAAATGTCAAAAAACTCATGTCTGTTGTATGGCAGCTTAAATATTTATATTTTTCTGTTTTTAGTATTTGTTGTTATAGCGGCAACAGAAATACATCATCTGTTAAAATTTCAACTGACTAACTATCACGGTTCATGAGATACAGCCTGGTGAAAGACATATAGACAGACAGACGGATGGACAGCAGAGTCTTAGGAATAGGGTCTTGTTCTACCCGTTGGTTACAGAACCCTAAAAACTTAACTTAAAGATTTTTGATTTTGAAGTTGAATCACTTTATGCTAAAAGGATCTTGATACATATGCCTAATGCATTCATTATCTTTGTGAGGTAATTATTTATTTACTGTTGTATAAGTATTGGTATGCTAAATTTAAAACCTCTACCTCTACCTCTCCTATGCCAGTACATCTTGTCCGACAAGAGATAAGGTATTTTAAAATCTTGAATTTTTCGGGTTTTTTAGGTTTGCTTAACAGTATATGGGTTTAGCAATAATTACCTAATTAATGTATGCAGAAGTATTTACCAGGCAAATAATAAGAGTTCAGTAGTTTTAATGTTGTGATATTTTAAAAATATATTAACTAAACATTAGCCTAAAGTATTGGTCTTTTGAACTTAATAATTTAATAAGTGTTTACATATTATCATTTAAAAATTTTGCATTTAGATTTAAGTAGAATAGGTAGCTCAATTCTATATTTGGATTATATTATCTGTTGATCATCAATGCATAATTAATAGTTTCTTAGTTCCTTCTTGTTATAAGTGGGTGACAATATAAAGGCTACTTTCTATATTTCAGCCCAAACACGTGGTAAGATCCTGGAAAAGGCTGCCGAGAGTCTTCTCGCCTGCTTCAGAGTTTGTGCAGCCGATAACCGTGCTTCAGATGCAGACACTAAAAAACTTGGAATGCTGAATCTCGTAAATCAGCTTCTTAAAATTTATTTCCGTATTGACAAGATCCAGCTATGTAAGCCCTTGATTAGAGCTATTGATTCTTCACCTTACAAAGATCAGTTTCCAATCGCTCAGCAGGTTACATATAGGTACTTTGTTGGACGTAAAGCTATGTTTGATTCAGACTATCGTTCTGCAGACGAATATTTGAGTTTCGCATTTCAAAAATGTCACAAGGATAGTATCAAAAATAAACAGCGAATCCTGACTTACTTAGTACCAGTGAAAATGCTTCTGGGCCTTATGCCAACTAGACATGTTCTAGAAAAATACAACTTAATGGAATTTTGGCAACTTGCATGTGCTGTAAAGGATGGTAATCTCAGAGGAATAGATGAAGTAATGGATGAACACGATAGCTTTTTCAAAAATGCGGGTATTTATTTAATTGTAGAAAAATTGAAGATTATTGCTCGTAGAAATTTGTTTAGAAAAGTCTGTATTAATGAGAGACAAATTCAAGAAGATCAGTCGAAGGCTCACCAAATTGATATTAAGAAATTCCAGGCAGCATTGCAAATGATGGGAGAGGGTGATGTTGATGCTGATGAGACTCAATGTATCGCAGCTCATTTGATTTATCACAATATAATTAAAGGTTACATCTCATATCAACATCAAATGTTAGTAGTGAGTAAGAAAAATGCATTTCCACCACTATCTAGTTTTGATATTACAATAGTTTAAGTTAGAAAAGTAAGTAGAAAGTGGTCAAAATTTGCATATTTTTTCAGGAACATTCTGTGTTCCAGTGTGTGCATGAACTTGCATTTACAATAGAAGTTATGTTGTTTTTTCCTCTTGTAATATACTGTAACAATAATTACAAGGCATATATGGAAAATGTTGTGCCGAAAGTAAACAAAAGATTTGTCACCTACACCTTTATATTACACCGATGAAAAATATATTTTTTATCACAACTATGTAAATGCAGTTTTTGAAAACATATACAAACATTTCTGGGCAGTTAATTTTCATTATTGATCTAACTAGGATTAAATGGAACTGAATATGTTTGAAATAATATTAAAATACATTCTAAGAATTATAAACCCTAAATCTAGTATCGACCCTAGTCTGATTATGCACGCAGTAACTACTAGACTCATTGCGCACAAAAATTGATCACGATTTGACTGAAGTCCGTAATTACAAGGTAGAGTTGATAGTTGATAATTGTGTAGTCTTAGTTATAAAATAACGAGACATATCGTATCTATTATATGTTGCATAAAATGTGGCTCAGAGCGTTTAGAGCGCCCACTAATAAGCTTGGCACTAATTATTTAAACAGTACTTGGTATCTTGTTTCGAAAACATTGTTATTTAAATAAACGAATTACTCCTTAGATGTATTAAGGTGATTATACCACCCGACTTGACCCGACACCCGACCAGGATTACCTCGTCACTCGGGTGTCCACTGTGTGCCGGCAATGCAGCGTCCTCGCCCGTGGACAACCCGCGGGCGAGGCGCTCCGGAGTTGATGTAGTGAGCGTATACCCATAGTACTTTAGTACATATAAAGAATGAGGCGAGGCGGTGCTGTTCGGGATTCGGGTGGCTGTAATGGGCTATGACTTTAACTCCGTCAGTAAAAATGTCACGTTTACTATGTTAAAATTATACTATTCAGTAATCTGATTACTCCTTGAAAATTGTAAGTACTGAATACTGAAGCTAAATAGCTTTTACTGAAGTATAACACCTAGTGTCTCAGTGTCGCATGTCGTTTTACACAATATAGAATCATCAAAGGTAGGTATAAGAATCAATCAATCAATCAAGAATCATGAAAGCTATAAAAACATGCCATAGCTTTTATGGCTTTTCAATGATACTCTATGATATTCCTAAGACTGACTTAACTGCGATCGTTTTATTTGAATTCGGAATACAAAATTTGTTTATTTCATTTCATATTGTTGTTTAAATATTTCTAAAACTAAAGAAATAATTAGGGTACTAGCTGTACTTTGGCGAACACTAATTATTTAACTAAAATAAAATCAGCCTGAGCTACTTCTTCTATCTTATACGTCAGCTTGATAGCTAGAGGCATTTACAATCCCGCGGAACTGTATCTATCTTTTACGGAGATATTCTGACAAACAGTCAGACAGGTACAGTTTTTACAATTAATTGTTTGATTAAATACAAATATAGATAGTAGATTCTAAAACGAATTTGGGTTCAACAAATTAGGTTCGCATCCAACAGTGTAAAGGCTTCTTATATTAGCAGGTTTTTTTTTTAAGAAGTCAAATCATGTTAGTCATTAATGAAACTGGCTAATCATTGCCACTTACGTAGTATAGTTTATGAGATGTATTTTTCGATGTTATTATAATAATAAGTGTATTATCTGGATATCAAGGTTTCTTGTACTCTTGTACTTTTTTACTAAGTATAAAAAATACATTAGGTATACAGATTTGCTCTGTAATAATTTGTGTCAATCTGTTGCCAAATTTCTTAAAAAATGGCTCAAGTGACTCACTGAAGATCGTTGAACAGTAGTGTGTGACACACACTTTGACAGTGAACCCATCGAAAACAGAGATGATCATGTTAACAAACAAACTTAGTCTAGGAAATCTCAGACTGCCCGAACTATTTGAAACACAAATGGCTCTTATAAAAGAGGGCAAATACGTAGGAGTAATACTAGACGGTAAACTCTTGTGGAATGGGCACCTCGAAGAGAAACTAAACAAAGCCAGCTTAGTCTTCTGCCAATGCAAACGGCTACTCGGCAAAAGCTTTGGACTATCACCAAAGATTACACTATGGCTCTAAAGAACGGTCATAAGACCAATACCGTATTGTACGGTGCCATTGTTTTGTGGCAAAGAACAGAGCTAAGCACCGTCATAAGTAAATTACAGCAATTCCAGAGACTCCCATGCTCAGCGGTCACTGCTATATGCGTACAATGCTAACTGCCGCACTAGAGGTGGCTCTTAGTCTGCCTCGATTGGAATTGTTCAACAAGAGGCAGCCATGATGATAATTAGACTCAGACACCTGGATCTGTGGCACAAAAGGTGAGGGATAGCACTTCAAATTATGGGATCAATTAGTGGAATACGAACCACTAACAGCAGCCCCAGCAAAGGATCCTAAAACACCATATTACAAATACATTCAGACAATAAAATGACCGAGATAAATAATGAAGTCCAAATTTACACGGCTGGGCCGCAAGTCAATCCGGAGTTTTCTCACAAAACCTAAACATGAACATATCAATCACATGAAGCCTCACCACGACTTAATAGCAGACTGATCAGCCTTGAAACCCTAATAGTTGTAGGAACTACAACAGGAAGCCCTGAACTAGCCCTGAACCGACAACTATTCACCATTAATGCGGCGAACAGCCCTCTTTGCAGAGGATGTCTGAAAGCAGAAGAAACGACCGCCCATGTAAACCTGAAACAAAATCGCTCCTAGAAGCCTGTGAATGCCCCAGGAGGCTTCTGCGCTTCTGGAAGGATCTTGGTTTGCTCACCTAGCCAACCTTTCCTCGACGCATAAAGGAATATATCGCATATCGGAGCCCACAATCAATACTAATAGGCTCCAATGAATACACTGTCTTAAGAATAGTGCAGACTCGAATTTAGGAAAGCCTAAGAACTTTAGATATAATGCTGACTCACAATGCGATATATATATATATATTATTAATTACAAATACATATTGTATATGTGTATAGTATATAACCACTATTGATGCAAGAAGGCTCTTAACTTATTTAGGAGTTATATTGCCTGAAATTAATACGGTACACTCGGATAATCGTACCAGTACAACAGATTTTCAGTGATTCCTGTAGCTCATAAGTCAATATGCCCCATGTCTCAGTTCAATCAATATTGTACGTTTATCATAATTTCAATTAACTTTAGCCATTTTTTCTCGTTAATGTATTGTAGTTTTAAGAGAATCTGACTGTCACTAAAGATGTACATTGAATGTATAGATAAGTAGTATTGTAACAGTGAATACAGTTTTATACTTTATCCGTTCTTTTCGTTTTACTCCTTTATAACCCTTAAATTCTTGGGCCCTTTACTGATTTACCTTGTTTACGATTTACGTCGTGTTCCAATTGCATCTCTAAGATACAATCGCAACACGACGTTGAAGTGGTTACAAATGTAGCAGTTTCTTGACTTTTCAAGCTGGCAAATATTTTTACCATATAAAAGGGTCAAAATGAGCAGACGTTTACTTTTCATATACTTACCCGTATCTTGCCAGAATACCCAAATAAATTAAAGTTCAATGACTATAAACATTTTTTATTAAATCCACAATATATTTCAAAGAATAATATAAATATAATAAATTTGACGAGTACTAAGTGCATGCGCTGTTGGAGGCGAGTCATTCCGCTCGAACATTTGTACCGCATGCGGGTAGTACAATCTTCGCGATACATCTATCAAATGGTGCTAAAACAAACTCGCATTGAGCAGCATATGCCGTCACATAGACCATTCAACGGGTGCACGGATGGCGTAGTGGTTTAAGCGGTCGCCACGCCGCTTAATACTGCGCTGACTGTTGTGGGTCTGATCCCCACATGTGACGACACTTTGTGTAAACCACAAATTGTTCAGAGTCTGGGTGTTGTTTATGTCCGTTTCATGTTTGTTTGTAAAGTCCCCCGCGACACAGGATATATTCCTATTGCGGGAGTAGTCTTTTAAAGAAAACGAAAAAAAACGATGCTATAGGTACCTACTTATACACTGTAAGTCTTAAAACATGTTTGTGATTTTAAATAGAAATTGTCCTAATCTACAGTTACAGTCACTTATTATATAGATAGATAAGTTTGGTATGCATTTGAAATATTAATGTGTTCGCAATGTGCGATTTTGTGTTTTTTAGTTAACTACAATTACTATTATGATAATCACTGCATTTAGACACAAATGATGGTAGATATTATTAATCTCTATAGGATGATTTCATCGCCTACCAAGATTCATTAACCAATGCTTTATTTAAAATATGAAGTGATATTTTACTATGGGTTAAAAAAGTTGAACAGTACTTACAGTATTTTCGGTAGCCGTTTTGAGCACTTGCGGTAGGCAAGAGAGAGGTTTTAAAAGTTTTATTATACTATTTAATGTAGTTTTTAGTGGTTATTAATAAGGTACAAGATATGTTTTGAAAAATTGATATGCATTTTCTATAGATCCCCTTACGCAGTAAGCTCATTTTTGTTTCTACCAAGGAAGACATTGTTTTCATATAGCAACACAAAATCGCACATTACTTCTAGAAGATTTGGTAGAAAAATATGAAGAAATATTTGACTAAATATTTCATAGAATTCAATATTATCTTACATTTAGCACTTATTTATCTACAATAAAAGAAGCTGAATAAGAATGTTGTATACGCAAAGCAACCACTTTCGCATTTTCAAAGAGTTTAATTTAATTGAATTTATATGATACTGAAGTAAGTCTCTTCGATTACACAATGAAGGAGTCGACAACATACGTTATTTACAAAATAAATTTTTAAATTAAAAATCAGGTACGGAACTTAAGTCTTTTAGACTTTGATTTCAACTGAAAATGTTGCCATTATCGACATGCCTATCATGCATAGGCCTTAGATTAATACCATTTAAATTTTAATGACCTTATAATCTTATAAATGTAGTAATTTCGAGCCAACTTTAAGTCAGCCTTTGAATAAATAGAGATCTTTTAAAATGGGATTGAAATACACCATAAAATATATTTCTTATGAATAATTATCTACCTTACTTAGTTCGGTAGAAATAGAAGCAGAAACAATAAGTATTCCAATATAGTATGCGACACGTCTCTTAATATTTATCTAAGAAACATCAAAGAATACAAGGTTAGAACTAATTAGGGATAATAGATATTTTCCCTTACGATTAATACTACTTAAAGTAACACCTAGTACACATTAATAAATAATATAAAGTGACTTATTACGAAAATAGGCCACTGGGTGTGATTTTCTTATCTTGACTCTTTCGTGAGTTCAGAACTATGACAATCGACTAAATGGGATTTATTCAAATATGTATTTTTATGATAGTATAGTTATCGCTTTTGTAAATTTTAATTTTTCGTTAAGTCCACTATGTTTGTAGATCGCTTCCAATAGTAAAATAGCGAAAATTATGCTGCCTTAATATTAAATAAAATAATATAAAAAAATTCAGGAGGATTTTGAGCTTAAAATTAAAGTTTCGGATATTCTAAATTTGGCCTGCGCCCAAAACCCCCCCTTAATACAGACAGTATGGTATTTTCGTAATTAGTCATTAATAAGTTATTTGTCATATTAGTTTCTCTCGGAGTACGCGAATTTGCGCTGCGTGAGTCCTTTGAGTAGCTCGTCCTTGAAAGCCGCTAGAACCGCTCGAGACATGCCGGGCTCTGACTGGCTTGGCTTGAAGTATTGCGGCATTCGCCTAAAGAATAGAAGTAACTATTAAATGTGTGTAAAATATTATTTTTATATGATATTGACGAATTCGTATTTAATCGTAGCTCACTCATCTCCAGGACTTTGTAAAAATATGTGTGACTGCCCTTATCCTAATAAAATGTATTAAATTAAATATTTAGGGGTTATCATCGATAATAACTTCGTTTCCAGAAGCACATAGATGGTCTAGGTAATAGAGTACGTAAACTAATTTATATATTCAAAACACTGTGACATGCGGCGCATGAGAGATTGTTGAGATCTGTATACTTTACACTGATACAATCTCAGTGATACAGTCTCACAGATCATCTCAGATACCCTCTGTGTCACCACGTGTGGATGGGCGTCAAAAAAAATAATGATCGACCTGGAAACGGCGCAGCGGGTAGTGCTCAAGGTATCATACTTCAGACTGTATCGTGACCCCACAGACCTTGCTTTGACTTGTACCAAACGGCTATACAGCCCGGTAGACAGACATATTTCTAATTTTTCAACTATGTTGTCGAAACGTTTCTTCTATAATAGACTTAACAACATTCTACAAATATATAGTTTGAATAAAAAGGTATATAAAAAGAAATTAATAGCTTCAGGCCCAGACGTATGAGGATACTCAGAAATTACTTTATTTTAATATATAATATTTGTACGCACACGCATACGCATATACATACACACAAGCACACACGCAAACAACACACGGACACACGTACACGTTAATGACATGGTGTCCTGAAATACAAGCCCAGAGCTTAGTTTAAGCACCAGTCTGCCACAATATTGTGTATAGTGATTTAATTTATAAGAACTTGTATGTATGCAAACATGTATTGTGGTGAGAAAAATAAAGATTTATTATTATTATTATAAAATAAGGTACTCATGGGAGCCGTAATACATAAACTTTTGCTCTTTGTTGTAGAGCAGATTACAGATACATTTCTGCTTTAATTGAAAACCTCCATCCTTCCCACAGACTGGTAATTAAAACATCTTTATTAGTAAGGTGATTCAGCTAGTAAGTTAAAGATGAAAAGCTAAAGACCAGATCTTGAAAAGATTAAGTAAAGAAACAAAACTGTAATCGCTGCAGTTGTAAAATTGTAGAAGAATGATTTTTGCTTGCCACTTTTGTACACAAACAAGTGATTATAGACGAAAGTAATTTCTGAGCATCTGAGGTAATACATATTCGCAACCTAAACGACATTTAATTGTCTGTGTGTTTAAGATATTTACCTGGTTGGTGGATTAATAGCGAAAGAGTCATGTGAGTGTAAAAGGTCTGGATGATCGGCAATAGTGTCTGTCAATGCAGCAATCATCACATCTGAAACAAAATTCTCATTTAAGGTTTTGGAAATTCATACTGGGGTGATTTTCACAAAAAATGACCCTAGCAAAATCGGATTGTCCCACAAATTCTAACATTATTATTATTATTTTTTTAAATGGCACATATTTCAAAGTTGAATAAAATTAGAACCACCATAAAAAGCGGCTGGTTTTATAAATAATAAATATTTTAAAACTTTAACTTAATTTTCATGTAGTAGAAGTTTTTTTTTTAATTTTACTTAGTAACTGACTTTGTTAACCGGTATTGTAAAAAGATAAAAGTTGTATTGTTTGTTTGTACGTAGGTAATCTCCTCAATATTATTAAATACCGATACCGATTAAAAAAATGACTTAAAAAAAGATAGCTACATTATGCCCAAGTGCCATAGATAAACGACTTTTTACCCAATTTTACTACGGCAATTGATGTTAGTTCGTATCATTTTAAAAGCCATAGGACCTTTTTTGTTTCAGGTCATAGTTCTCATTTAGCATCCCTACTCGTTTGGATGATCACTCTGCTAGCAGCTATCGTAGTCTATTAGGACGTTGACAAAATCCTAACATATTTTGATTTGAATCAATTTTACATCAAAAATGCCCTGGCCTATAATTACTAAGACGACGAAAAATTAACAATGGTATGAAACTGCAGCATTTTACTTTGGCGATGAATCAAAGTGATATCGTGCTCCATTTTTTGGTGTTCTTTTTGTATGCATTATATTTATGATCATTTTCCCGAGGACTAGTGTGAGGTTGGTGTTGGAGGAAGTAATTAATAGTTATTAGAGAAAGTAATTATTTCGTTCGTCAAAGGAGAGAATGGTGAGAATGGCAAAATTAAAAAAGAATCGAAGAACGATAACGGATCTAATAGATGAAGAAAATATAAATAAAAAAAAATATGAAGATGAAAAGAAAAAACTTAAACTAAAAAAATACATTAAAAAAAACATAAACCGACAAGAGAACCACCTTTTTTTTTTTTTTTTTCTGTGCGGAAATCCCCTCGGATACCACCTGTCGGTGGCATGTCGGACTCGAACCGACTAAAACCGCACGCCGTCGCCGGGTACTAATAGCCGGGGAACCAGGTATACCCTAGAAAGGAAGTCCCTGGTGCCCCGACATACCTCGGGTCATCTACAGACGAGTAGACGACCTCCCCCCCCCCGTGTGGGAACCCCATGTTCCCTGTGCTCCCTGGAAGCGAGCGCGCTTCGCAACGCGCTCGCCGCCACCCCGGCCTGCTTCTGCTAGGGTGACAGATGGCCTCACCTGTCACCCCCAGGCCTGCGCTTATGGAGGACGGAGGTCGTTCTGCGACCTCCGGCGCCTGAGTCGCCTGCGTTGCCTGGCCCGTGCCCGGGCCTGGCGGGCCGGGAGAGTTCTAAACCTCTCCCGGTCCCGCTCCGCCGTCTCCTTCGCGAGCATAACTTGCTCGCAGAAGGAGACGGCAGAGTTCCACGCACTCTCGCTCCGCACGATAGCCGCAATCAGGCTATCGAGCGAGAGAACTCCCACTCCGATGGCCGCCACGAGGTCTCGCCTCTGCTCAACCCACGCCGGGCACTCGTTTGGCCATCGCAGTGGTGGCACTCAGGCGTTGGCTCCTTGCGGATCAGACACAGGTGATCTCCGAAACATCCCTTCCCAGTGATCACCTGCGTCAATCGGTATGAGAGGGTCCCGTGACGCCTCTCGAGCCAATCCTCCATAACGGGTCTTACCGCCGCAATGACGGCGTGCCCGGCGCTCGGTTGCCCGAGTCGTTCCCTCCACTCCCCTATGATGACCTGGCGGACCCAAACTCACATAAATCACTTTGGTGAAGATATTAAAGTTGGGTCTCGTTATATAAGTTATGTGATCTCAAATTGTTAGTTTTATATTTTTTTATACTTTTATATTTAAAAAAAGGTTTAATAAATCTAAAAGGTTTTATTAATAATATTAATAAGTTAACGCTTAATTCTTTGTGATTGTGTTTTTAAGCAGGACACTGCTCAAATTATTCCTATTCGTCACGCAATTTTCGTAACAGTCACTGTCCCATATTCTGAATGGTACAAAAATGGTTTAAAATAATCTAAATATAATTTATAACATTCATTTTGTCATTATCAGTGTTTTATTATTCTCAGAAAGTGCTCACTTTACTTGATTTTTGAATTTGTAATACGTATCATTAGTAATGACAACTTTTCTAGTGCGAAGTTTGCCAGAAGTGACATACATGAAACAATTTCGCTGATATTTATTAATGTGATAGAATTATGCTACTCTTTTGTTACTTTTGAAAAGATTTTAAACATATATTTATTCTAATATAAGTTGATTTTGTTTCAATACCTGGTTGTTTTATTTCTGACTAATTATATTTTGTGACGTACAGGAATACATGATATTAAAACTTGAATAGTTGCTAGTTAATAATATATTATTAAATAACAGAGTAAATATAAACAATTTCATGTAATGGCAAAATTAAATTTCCAATTTTTCTGCAAAACACCCACCCACCCTGGTATATTTTTAATTTTGTAATTTTAATAATCGTTGGAACGATTATTTTTTGCCTACGCTATCTGCATATTTTTATTGCTATTGTATATCACTAAATGCATTTAGATTTCAGCCTTCTCGTTTTCAAGAAGACTACGGTAAAGTGGCCGTTTAGCCGTATCGTTCAAAGTATCAAGTAGTAGAAAAAAGTGCTCTTTCAACTTGAATCCCCTGACTCAATCCCCCAGGGGATAGTGTTGTACAATCCTGTGGGGAATACAAATGTTCTAACATTCGACATTTCAAGGATTTTCCCTGTTTTATGACAAAGAACTTTAATAAAAACAGCAACAGTTACTACAGACGACATAATCAACAGCAAGAAGTGAACGTACCAAGAACTTTTTTCTCGATAGAGCGTGACATTTGACCCTTCTCGGCTTCCAGCTCCAGGAACGTCATGAACTGCTGAGTAGCGGCGCGCGCTGAAGCTGGGTCTTGGAACAGCGATTGAGAGAACATCATCTAGAAAGCACGATTCAATTATTTTTTATATAGTTTATGAGACAAGTGAGTAGACGGGCCACTTGATGGTAAGCGACTACCGCTGCCTGTCGACACCTACCATTCAAGAGACACTAGTAAAGGGTAAAGGTGGAAGGGGGTTTCTTGGCTTTGTGTCTGACGACAGGAACGATAATCTCTGCTAGCTTAGTATATGCCCGTCATAAACGATAACCATAACCTGTATCTACCTACTATAAACTAGCTACTGCCTCTAGGTTTGGCAATACAGGTATATCTTGTCTGTCTGATGCCAGACGCGATAATCTTTATCCTATGATGAATAGTATTGGTATGTTAGATGTGTCTAACATCAGTCCTTATTACACCAACTATCACTATCAATCTCATAATGTAGTAACCCAGAGGCTTCGTAAATCACTAAATACACTAGAAAGTTTTTAAAAGGCTTTTACAACAAAGTAATTTCTAGATTACCTTAGCTAGCTGGTAAATTATCTCGAGTGTATATTCAGGGTAGAGAGTATCAGCCGGTTTCAGCCTTTCCATTATTTCGTCATATTCTTCCTCGGCGTTTATTGGTCCATCACGGTCATAGTCTGATGCACCTAAAATGAAAATAGAGATTTACTTTATGTTAAAGTAAAATAAGTGCTAAATAAAGAGATTTAATAATGAAGAGATCTTTCAATAAGTTTAGTAGTAATTTAGAGCTTTAAGATTTTAAAATTCTATAGTTCTAAACTAAAATATGTCATATTTTAATGCAAGATTAAACGCTACAAAACTTTAATTTTGAGATATTATTTCCTTAGGCTCACACAACCAGAAGTAGGTATTTCATCACTAAAGTGGATAGGAGAAGTGATTCAAGGTTTCTGAGGACGTTTTGAGAAAACGAAACAATGCATCTCCAGGGTCATATTCTACCTAGTACTTGAAGCTGTTTAAGTAGATATATTTTGTTAATAACATTTTCCTTTAAGGAGAATATCATCATCCGTTGGAATCATCGTCATCACTTACCCATGTAGTTAATCTGAAGTCTTGGATCATATGTTCGCTTGAACGGCTCTGGTCTGCGGTCATTTGTCACCGGCAGTGAGGGAATTGGTGAGATGTTGTTGTTCAACTCCCAGTTTTTGAACACAAGGCTGCGCATGATGTCGGGATTGTTCCCACCAAACGGCATGGTTTGAAGAGCTGGGCTTCGGTACTGGTATTCCTGGAAATTAATAGCCCCGGTCTAAAAGCGCCTTGCAACCTGTCAGTAAGTGCCTGGCTGTACCTATTTCCGCATCGCACAAACCTTTTTTGTAGGTTTTCCCCACCTTACTAGGTTGCTTTGATCAGGGAGAATCAATTAAAAGGCGTTGACGTAAAATTTTAACAAATCTGGTGACTAATCGTTAAATATTGTGCGCCATTTCAAAGCTGGTGGGATACAAAATTCTCTTAGAGTTAACCATTCATTTTGCATTTCTAGGTTCATTGCGTGCATCTTGTAGGCCTTGTTTTCATCTTGTTGTAGAAAAACGCCCAAACTCCGAAACAAATATTTGCAGATCATATAAATATTTGGTCCGACCCGGGAATCGAACCCGAGACCTCAGCACAGCAGTCCCAAACGCTACCACTGCACCCCTGAGCCAGTGGATGAGATGCATCATTTTCAAAGTTAGAAACACGAAATAGGAAATAAACCCGTACAATAGCAATAACTAGTATGTCATATTTATGGACTGCCAAGACTCATTAACCTGTATTCTCGACACAGTAATCCAATAGTACTCGTTAAACTGACGCCATAAACTCTACAGAGGCATGATAATTAAATAGGATTCTGGTAATAACTACTTCGTTTATTTTTAACTTCACTCATAAAATATTATTAATACTCTGCAATCGAGACAATGAATGAACTGCTGAGAAATTTTAAAACGCAAACACTATTATAGTGTTAGAGTTATCTAGAATCAAATACGAAGAGTGAGCTACCCGTATATTAATTATCAGTTGTGGAGATATCCGCCTTGAGTAATAATAATTGAGAATCGAATTTTAGCATACAAAATTAACACACTCACAATTCACACATTCAGAACAAGAGCCTGTAGCATACGTTGAGTTGCTTTTAATTACAATTTCATGCAGTTGACCAACTTTTCTTACAACATTCCTCTTTGTCTTTCACTTTAAGGTTACATAGTTGTTTCAAGTTTCCACAAGTATCTATCTCATTAAATTGTACACAAAGTTCCTCTGTAATAGAGGTTAAAGTCTTTGAATACTTTGGAAGTTTTAACTGATTGTTTAACCATTTGTTTACTTTACTCTTCTTTTTAATAAATTGGGTCAGAGGAGTGAAACAAATTGTTTTAAGAAGAACCTCTTTCTGACATTTGTTGCCAAAAATATTTGTGGGCCTATACTTTGTGGGCCTTTTTTAAATTTGATTGATTAAGAAAATGGTAAATTATAAGCACTTAATATCACAAAGAAATGATATATTTAGCTGGACATTTGGATAAACATTTATAACATTTATTCTTACCCCAGCATTAGCCTGTTCAATGAGCATGTTTCTCAGTTTTTCCTGCTGCGTATTCTCCTCAACAGCCTTCAAGTTCTGCGCGTAATGAGTACGCAGATAGTCGATGTTGAATTTTATCTCCTGGAGGAAGTTAATCGCTTCTTCTTTTGACATCTGAAATTGTAAAGTAGTTTAATCAGACTAATTTTTAAACTTACGATATGTGTTTGGGTTAAGGATTAAATTTTATACCAATTTCATAAGGAATAAATATAATCCTTGATAAATTGTAACAATAACTTTGATTATTGTAATTGTAAATATTGATATTAAGTGTGTGGAGTGTCACTAGAGTTTTATTTTTATTTCTTGAGTGTAGAGTACATTATAATGACATTTAAAAGATAGAAGTAAAATTAGATGCTAACCATTCCCTCTAGAAGAAAGTCCTCAATGACAGTAGTCACTCCTCGCTCGTCTCCAGTCCAGAATACATACTCAGCCATGTCCAGGGGCGAATACGGTATGCCAGAAGTGTATGTTCCGTAGTGATCAATCTACACAATACCAGAAAAAAATACTATAGGTTATTTGGTGTCGTGTCGTAGAACAGATGTACAAAGTCAAAGAGTCTATTTATGCCAAGTAAGTACTTGGAGTACTTGTTTTTTTACTTTATATTACAAGGAAATATTTAAGACGAAGAAATATTGAAGATGCAGTTAGAATGTATGGGAGAATATACTCGTGAAATACATTTTTAAGTTTGTTTACTATCCATTATATTTGTACATGAAATAAGAAATCCCTTTTAAAAAAAGTTGAACCGACTTCAAACAACACTAACAAAGAGCACTAAAACCCTGGCCGCAATCGTGATTGTTTTGCTGACATTTTTTACAGAGTTCCATTGTATGTCCTCATAACTCATCATCAGATCTATAGGAAATTTAGATAGTTACCATTTCGGAATAAACCCCTTTTGAATTAAAATAGAAATTTCAAAATCCGTCTATTTATGTCGGAGTTACGCCCGAACATACACAAATAAAAAACCGAATTGAAAACCTCCTCCTTTTTGAAGTCGGTTTAAAAACATTGCAACAAATTCATCATATGAAACCTAGGCTGTTTTTTTTCAAACATAAAATCTCAATACAGAGATTGGATGACAATTTCATGTTTTCTAATGTAGTGCGCAGATACATTATAAAATATATACAGATAGATACAGATACATTATAGATATAATCTATCGAACTTTTCTAGTCCGATAGATTATATAAGACTCCAAGAAATCCTAATATCATTTATCTATATGATGACCTGTGTGAATTTGTTTTATGTTCAGATTTAATATTTACTTTCTAAAATCCAGATTCATACTGCAATAGGAAGGATATTATGTATGACACCTTTCAGCAATAAAATGTATATAAAAAAATAGAACAATGCTGGATACAGAGATAAAAAAATAAAAAATATAAATTAAAAACTTACGATATTCTTAGTTTGTTTAGGGATATCAGTGTTAAATGCGCGGCGGATTGCAGTATGTGTGCTCAGTGGGTTGCTGTTGGTCGAAGAACCTGGTTGTACAAGGCGGGCTGCTCCGTGGAACACCTGTAGAAGAAACATTTATGATATGAGTCAATTACTTTGGCAAAAAATTGCATATGATATGATGATTTTAAAATAATTTTGAGTTTTTTGGACATTATTAATTGTTGGTTAAATAGTCAGACCAAATTACCAAAGTCAAAGTCAGTTATCACCACCATGACGATGCCTTAATCACAAATTAATCCCACACTTAATATTCCTAAAAAATCGCTTTCAAATTTTGCTGGGCTTAATACTCGTAGTACCCAAGTTTTGATTTTAACCATTTTTTACAAAAATGATTTTGTCGGTTACAACTTCACACTTCAGATACCAAGACGACTGGCCTACCTATCCTCCCCTCTCGGTACGCATATAATTACTGAAATCGTGAAAAAGAAATGCAACCTCTGGCCATCTTTTTGACTTAACTTATTCCGATGCGAAATCAGTTCGGAGTCATTACGCGTGAATCGTGCGTGATAATACCATTTCAATATGAATTTTCCATCAGAAAATCCTAATGACTTTTAACTCTATATACACTCTATACACTACTCTATAACACTATTTCAGTATTTGTTACGACGTTCCTTATACCCTGTATAAAACTTATAAAGTATAATAGTTTCCTGCAGACAAATTAGGTTTCAATAACGTTACCCTCTTGAAACGTTATTAATTCAAAGTGATGGATTGCCAGGAAGTAAGTGCAAGGAGTTGGGTCTTGTAACTTTTGTTGGAAACATGTGTTTTACGCAAAAAAAAATCGCACAACTAGTTTTTTATATACAAGTTATAAACTTGGTATTTTGTTCTTTTACAGCTTTTGTATCTACTTAACATAAATTGAACTATGCTTTATTTTGACAAACAAAAATATTTAATGGAGGATGTCGTCAATTTTTCTTGTATGTGACGTTGGTATTACTGTATATATTGGTTTGTTTTACCCGATGAACAGTAACATCCCATTTACGTAAGTGTTCATATTAAATGTAGTTGGCAGAATCTACGTACCCTTCAGACGTTTAGGTGTGTGTGTTCTGTTACATAATTTGCTCATTTATAGTGAGGCTGATACAACTCCAAAAAAATGCAAAGTGATCTAATAACACATAAATTAACCCCATTATCAATGGTGTAATGGTATGTTGTAATTTAGTCAGTTTCGTACTTTTTGCAGTTGTGTAACCGTCGCTCCAAACGAGCCATATGTCTAAGTATGCATGTGTATATGTCCCTATATGATTTCTATTGGTACCGGTGCGGTTCCGGTTTTATCTATGAGAACTCTGTGTTTTTATACCTTAGGAGTGGTTTCTTCATTAGCAACGGTGGTTGAAGCAGTAACGTCATGAATGCTAATATGAGCTCCATCTTGAACCAGCACACGGTGTACGCCTTCAGATGGCACGTCGAGCTGCGCTTGCCCATGTACTCGTGGTTTCTCGCCACCCTCTGCGTCTACTGACCCGTGTTCTTCAAGACGTGATTCCAGCTCTCCATTAGATGCTACTGTATCTGGTCGTACAAAATAATGCTATTATTAATCTGTGTACACTTAGCCCACTGGTTAGCTTATTCCTAGTATACTTAGAAATCATGTACCTATATGAAACAAGCAATAGAGTTCTTAGCTATGAAAAACCCTTTGACTTATGAAAACATCGCTAAAGTGATGAAATATTCTTCTAATAATAAGCTTGAAATACCACGTATTTCCCAGCTATCTTGAAATCCTTAACATAGGTAATTAAGCTTGCGATATGGTCGTGCGAAACGTGAGTTTTTCATCGGGTTCTATGTCCAGTAATTAGACATTTTGGGACTGGATACCAATAATGTAACTAGAATTGGTAGTACGACATTTTGACCTATATAATATATCTGTACCCATTCATGTATGTATCTATGTACTTATTCACTCTATTCTATTCTTTACATTATACTCTCTTTTACTTGCACCTTTCATAGGGAGTGACGAGAATGACCAAGTATATTTAGTGTACTCATATGTATGCTTACACACCAACATCGTCTTAAGAATTTGTTTGCACCGGATTAAAAAATCTGACGAATGCCGGCTAAATAGAACATCTGATTAAGGAATGTATGTATTATACTCAATATTTTAGATATAATCACATTTTCATCGTAGCTCGCCTTGTTTTCTTTATTCATAGCTGTGTACATAGAATGTACTCGCAAGTAAAATATAAATGTGTGGATAATGGCTTACAAATTACAACCCGAACAATGAATATAATACGCCACCCCCAGTTGGGTTGTTCCGTTGTCTGTAAAAGTGCGTAAAAATAGAGTGTGGCTGTTTTTGACTGTTATGTTTTTTTCTACCTTTCAAGGGTAATTATTACTCATTTTTATTAGTCATGTTCGTAGTGATGCAAGTATATCTCTTGCTTAAAACTACAACTTCGCACGTTTAACACTTCGCCCATTGCGACACTTGTTCTGCAAACAAGACAAGAAACTAGATATTAATTTTATAGAGACCAGATGTGACAGCAAAGATATGGGCGCGTTAAGCTGAAGCGTAAGCGAGGATTAAATGGTTATTGGTATACCTCTGACCACACAGAAATCTGAAATATGATTTTATCTAAAATAATCAATCATGCTTTAAGCACAATCAAGTCATTAAAGTATCAATAGGAAGCAGCCACGAAATAAAATTTCGGACATTTTTATGTACCCTTATACCTAACATGACAAATATTTTGTAGTAAGAGAATTTCTTTCTGGGACGTATTTGTTGTTACGACTCTTCCCTCGTAAATTTGCTGAGAGTTTTTGTATTATTACGGTTATTTTCAGGCAAAAATAGAACCAATCAATCTTTTTGTAAGCCGTGTGTGGGATGTGATATGACGAGGCTTGAACAGATGGTGAACTATGGCATCCATCCGTGTAATGCTTGATTAAATATTTTTCTAAAGCAGATATGTTGTGAATGTTTACGTGGTTTAGTAAGTGAACGAAGTATTCGAATTATTTATAGTGAAAATGTAAGTACCAAAATAAGGATTTGCGAGTTCAATTAAGATGATTGTCTAAGGCGAATATGAGTAAAAAAAAAACTGAACTTCATTACCAATGTCAACAAATTTAGGATTTAACATATATTTAATCTTTATTTCGATTTAAGATACCTATTTCTTATAGAAAGATAAAACATCAGGAACGTTCCGACAGCCATTGGTGATAACAATAAGTATATCAATAGCTATTCTATTTAAAGAATAGTACGCACCCACCACCCACCCCAATACTTTTCAAAACGTACCATAACATTTTTACTACATATTTTATTTCGGATTTGGCTTGTTCTGCGTGTCTTTCTACCCGGTGGCTGGAACAATCGCTCTGCTTTCCCTACCCTAGAGACGGCGTTGTTTATAATGTTTTAATGGAAACAAATTAAATAAAAAATTACAGTTAGCCATACAGACGAGTGTGTGTTAGTGTTCTGACAGAGTCTTTTTACTTATACCCCATTGGTTCATATACCGTCGTGATTTGAAAACTCTTTAAACAGAACAATAATCGAAATTAAAAAGAAAATGGACATCGATTTGAATTCTACGTCCAAATATTTTTATAGGCAATATTTATTTTATTAAATTATTCTTTAATTTCTGCACAACTCTAAGGTACAATGCATATGGTGCTAGGCATGTTTAGATAACTTTGTCTTGTGTCTAATAGTTTTAAAACCTGCAAAAGGAGATTTAACTTCTCATTTTATAGGTTTAACTGCAACAATCTTTATTATCTCTTTATATCTATAGTGGTCTCTTCACTCACAAATAGATAGTTCGCAGTTTCAGTGCCGTTTTCCATCCGAAAAACAGACATATCCCGTGCCTTAACACCCTTATCCTATCAGTTTTACTTACGCAATTTACTTTTTTCCTTCATTAATCCTGAAAATGCTAATATTCCAGACGAGAGTTAACAACAGGCACGTGGCCGGCCTTAAACGAAAGTAGCTTAAACCTAATTAATGTTATAAACTGAGCCGACTTTGAATAAAATTATCAAAGGAAAGATAAAATATACTTGGTTGTCTTCATTGATGCTATCAAGCATAATTAACTCAGACAGTAACTACTAATCGAGTCCCGGCATACGTTCAATACCTTAACGCAATTTGTTCTCAGTGAGGTAACTACATTAAGAATATTGAGCACTTACCCAGCCTGTGATACTCCACGTGTGAGCTGCTCATCTCGCTCTTGCCGGACTCCGCTGGAATACGAGTACAATTTTATTATTATTGTTTAATCTTCTATTTAGATGATTGATTGAATTGATTGATTATACGTTTTTTTAAGTAACCTGTTCAAAAGAGGATTATGTACATTAAAATGATAAAATAATTGACAAGGGCGGCTTTTTGGCATCAAAATGTATATGACATAAATAATCCAAACCTGCCGAGAAGAAGAAACCAAAAGGGATATACGAGTACATGAGTTGTGTAATGATTAGTCCTAAAATTGATTATAAAATCATAATACATATATATTTATGGGTTATTATTTTTTAAGCGGACGGGGTTAATTTTTCAGTTAGTGATATCTTGCTTCCAATAGTATTAATGTTATCCGTGTTTGCGGCTTCGGTCGCATTTTTTTTTTTCTATTAAGTATCTCGCGCACTAGATGACCATGACCAATCGTGGCGGCACCTTTTTCCCCGAAATCCCCTCGGATACCACCTATCGGTGGCATGTCGGACTCGAACCGACTAAAACCGCACGCCGTCTCGGGTACTAATAGCCGGGGAACCAGGTATACCCTAGAAAGGAAGTCCCTGGTGCCCCGACTCGTGGCGGCACCTGGAAGTGATAGCGGCCGTCTAGCGCGCGAGGTCCCTTACTAGCCTTTTCTGTCCTCTTATGTATCGCTCTCCCTTTTTGTATTCAAAACTTCTATTCTTCTGTTGAATAATTAAGACTTGGGAGCACAACAAACAGACTCACATTCCTATTTCAATACTATGGTCAGGTTCAAATCTTTTACTGTTTTACATGCAGCTTGGCTTTCTATTAAATTCTGTTCCCAGTCCAATGGGAACAATAGTAGACAACCATGACAAAGTGTACTGTAGAAATATTTGTTTCTTATACATACCGATTTAAAAAAAAAACGGTTTTTCAAAAAACGTTAAAATCACTTTTTAAAGTGTCGTGTAATATACCTAAGTCGTTTTACTTGTTCTAAAAAAGCAAAGCATTTCAATTAATAAACTTTACACGATCCTATTTGGAATATTCTTGTCGCGATTTAAGAAAACCTTTAAATCTGTTTGCGAAAAAATCATATAAAACAAAAACACATTTTCTTAAGCTTCACTACCAATTTGAACTTTTAATAAGAACGTTACATAGCTAGTTTAAATATTTATAGCTGATGTAAAAAAAAATTTAAATAAGCTGTAAAATGCTACTTATTTTAATATTATTTATGTAAGTATTTTATCAGTCAATCTAGCTTTCATAGTACAAGCTTTGTTTAGTTTGAAACTAGATGGCGTTGTGTCAGATGTTCGAAAATTATTATTATTATTTTTTTGCTCCGCATTGGATTTACAAATATTTTTTTGAAGTGAATCTTTTTTAGAATCATTGTGATTTGAAACTTGATGTATATGATTAAGTCGTCGAGAGAATGAGATGGAATACATTACACATTATTTTTAATATAGTATCTTGACAGTATGAATATTTTTATCTTTTTATTTAATACTAGCTCGTACCCGCGACTTCGTTCGCATGGAATTTAAAAAACGCTACCTTAGTGGGTTCGATTCCCGGGCCGGGCAAAGGGTTTTTCTGAGATAAAAAAAATCGGAAGCTTCACTTCTGCCGTGTGTGAATTGCACACACTTACTTTTTATAATAAAATCTTTAATGTTACACACTAATTGTCTTTTGAACATAACGATTTATTCGGGTTTTAGTGACATCTTGACAGACCCATATCGCCGGTACAGCCATCAAGAAGAAAAACACACTCATTCTTTTCCACGAGTCATTATAATACCTACTTCTGTATTCCACTCTAGATATTCTTTAATACCTTGTGCATAAAGTCGCCATTGTACTCGTATGAATGAAGCAACAACACTTCTAAGTAGTCTTCAGAGTAAGCAATACTCAGTCATAGGGAGGCAAGCTAATTTACCGCCACCCCAAGGTTACAGGGACATTAAAGCGACAACATACTCCATATAACCTCCAACATACTTGATATACTACTTTATAAAGCGTCAGTAAATCCATAAACAATGTTTTGATTAATGTAGCCTGTTATCAAGTATAACATAAATGTTGGTCCGTTTAATCATACGTTGTAAGGATATGTTTACATGAAGCCATTAACCCAGTTAGGATTGGGAACTTATGAGTAATTTTATGTACCTACAGATGATTGGTCCACTGAACGTGGTAACTAGAACACAAAAAGGGTCATCCGATTATTGTAGATGAATATGAGCCTTTTTAGTGATAGGCGGGAGAAGCCTCTGCCTTCCCTCGGGATAGGACCTAGTTAGATGAGGTGTCGATCCGGGAGGGAAATGCTATGGTCCAGGTCCTCTCCAGAGTAGGACGCCTGAGGCCGGCCGTCGGGGTGGTCCTGCATCCCCTAGAAGATCCGAAGATCCAAAGTGATTTTCAAATCTCATTAGAAAATGTATTATTTTTGGAACTATTGTATATTATACAAAATAGTTATTATAATTATTTAAAAAGATAGTAAAAAAAAACGACATACAAAACGAACGACAGTTTTATTTAACTATATTTGTGTACACATGTGTAAATTGGGTTTTATCGTATCGATATGTCGGTGCCTTTGATTGTTGACACAATAAAACATGCAAAGTCATTCCAATTCAAGTGACTTTGAGGTCAAAAGTACTAGATACCGATGAGATCTTAAGCAGAGTTAATTAAAATAAATTATTGAATTTTTCTTGATTTCAAAATGTCTTAAAAAGTTTTCTTTGTATAACACGTGTCCATACTAATTGTAAAAGTAAAGTAAAATATTAAGTAAATTACGTTCAAATATTCTAAATTTAAAAAAGGCAAGTGTTGAGTGACAAAATATTGTATTCGTAAGAAAACTTTAAAAAGTCTCTTGTAAAATAAACACTAAGGTTTCATTAGTCATTCTTAACATAAAAGAATTTCGTTATTAAACAACTACTGAACAAGGCTTAAACTAAGCAAAGTTGCTTAAGGAGCAATAGATTACCTAAGCCACTCTCCTCACACCAAATTTAGTCTCCGTGATAATAATAACGAAAGTGTATATTATCGAAATGAATAAATCTATAAATAAACTAAAGTTTTTGAAATAGCTCCTGCTATGGCCTTGTCCGTGTGGTGACAAGTTAAGAATAGGGAGTGTCACCACCCCTATTCATCCCGTGGGTGTCGTACAAGCCGACTGGGAAGCAAACTACGCAGAACAAGAGCACAGCAAAGAGAAGAAAAACCTGACAAAAACCCTATACCAACTCGTCTGACCAGCGTGGTATAGTAGGTCAAAATCTCCTTTCTAAGGAGAGGCCTATGTCCAGCAGTGGACTATTAAAGGTTGATGATGGGATGTGTAATGTGATTAGCAATATAAATAAATATTAAAAAATCAAAAGAACATTCATTTTACGGATAATTTTAGAAGCAAATAGAAATTTTAATTAATATTTCTCTGTTTGTTTGAAAATATCAGTTACCTTTACCTAACATAACAATAACCACATTTCTTTGTGTATATAAAGCCTTAATTTATTCATAAACTAAAGCTTCAATAATAAAATGCTCTTACGGAATAAAACGAATCTTTGTTTAAATACACAGGTATATTTGCTCTAGTAGGTTTCATCGTAAGAAAGTAGCAGGCGCCAGTTCTGTAACGAAAATAGAAAGCTATTTATAGCTGCGGGTAGAGGAATACTACTGTAATTTAATTGGTGTGAATAAACTGGAAACACTCTCTAGAGAGTAGTTGAGGTACATACAAAGTAATCGTCTCAGTTAATGTCTTTGTTCTTGAGCAATTATATCCTTTAATTATGAAATCTGGATGATTCAAAGTGGCTCGAACATAAAAGTGCTAACTAAAAAAATGAGAGTTTTATGTAGGTAAATTTGTAGTTTATTTTTCGATTTTTTTTCAGCATATAAGATTTCACTTTAACTTTCGTTGTCTAGTAACAGAATTATGGCCCGTGAGCGGCATTACTTACTTCCATGGCAGTGCATACTTCCGCTTAAATCAACAAATTTATGTGGACTCAAAAGAGCTTATTCCATTCCATATATTTTAATTTTTCTTAAAACAAAAAAAAACTATCTGACTTCCTCAACTTTTGCCTGTAGTGATATTAGTTCTTACCTACAACTGTTTTTTTGTAGCTTAACCAGCACGTATTTAAAGAAATAAGGTTCAGAAAAGAGAGTGTGGTATTTTATATTTCTTGGTGGGTAAACGGTACACAGCCGACGTACTTAAACTGACATACTTATGAAGGACAAGTGTCAAAATTTTGTGTTCAATATTCTTTGAACCTTGATCCAAATCTTACCAGTTTATTGTAACGTATCTGAATACATACCCAAATTATATAATAATTACCTACCATTGGTCTCCGAGAACTATCGCCAGAATACGTTTCTATGGCGAGCGAGCAATACGATTAACAAAAAATGTAAACAATTAGAACTTGACATATTTGTGAGTAGTCAGCAGGTGGTGAGACGGGCACTCAGTCTTGAGTTCTTTTCAGAATACTAATTTTATTAAGTGTTGTACTTGATTTTGTTGAACTTATAATCGCTTTCAAATCTAAATCCTTACACTTACTTATTGTAAACTGTTTTCTATTCGTAAAGACCTGTTAATGGCTGAATGTAACCTATACAATATTAAATCAATCAAATGTAAAGCTCTTGGTCTTCCAAGATCAAATAAATGAATAAATAAATTAGTCTGGGCATTACTATATATACATTATACGGGATCAATAGCTATTACGTCTGGGTATCAGGTAGACACCGCAACTATTGTAACATAGAAGATCTTCACCTAATTCAGAAGTATAATAAAAATAATCTCACACACGGCCGTATGACCCTAAACTAGGCTGAGCGTGGACTCGTGGACAATATACAAATATAAAAGTTTGTCAATCATATTGCTGATAAACATACTTATATATTTCTACATACCTAT